AGATAAAGAAAAACTATTATCATGCACTAAATTAAATATCTTTAATTAAATATTAAATATAATTAATGATTTATAGTTAATTACTTACATTAATTAATAGATTTGTTTATTTATTTAACTTTAATTCAATGTTTTTGACATCAGAACCTCAAAAAAATTGTTTTGTTTTATTAATAGTCACCAAAGAATAAAAATATTCTATATTCAAGTGGAAGACTTTTGTTTTAAGAGGAAAAATTGAGAGGATATTAGAAGAGGATTTTTCCTCTAAATATGAGATTACTTTTTTTAGGGTGTGGTCTTCCGATAATAACGGCAACTTTATTTCACTTCTTTTCTCGTAATTTTGTCACTTTATTTTAAAAAAATTTCTCACAAACATTTTTCACAATATTTTATTCAATAACTTATGTATTTTCATAATCTACATCTTTATATCTTTCATTAAGAACGATTATTGTAAATAGATATTTAAATCATTTCCGAGTATTTTGAAAATATTCAAATTATTTATAATATTTATTGGTACTTGAAGATTTTTGAAACCTTTTATTAAAATAACTATAAAACTATGACAACATAAAACGCTTACAGTGAAAAGTCTGGATGACTTCAAGTCTTTTTGTAAAATAGAATGAAAAAAATAAATTTTTAAATCTCCGTACATACATTGATAAAAATTATAAATAATTAAGAAAAAATTTTTTAAAATTACATTTTTTAAAAGTTCTTTAGATTTTGTTTAGTGACTTAAAATAACGATTCATTTTAGGGAAAACTTAAGAAGATATGACAATTTTAATTCGGTCTGACCCACCCTGGATGAGTATCCCATCCGGCGAAGGTTAAAATATATTATTATAAAATATTATATTATCAACCGTTTCATTTGCCCTAAAATTATCACCTTCAAAGGTGATAATTTTTTCTTTATATTATTTTAATATGCACTCAACTATTGATTCTATGTCAAGAGTAGGTGGACGTCTTATTGACCTTTTTTTAATTGTATAAATTAACTTTTAATTAATAAAGTAAAAAAAAGTTGTTTCAAGCACGCAAACAAACAATGACCCCAGTAAACGAAAAAGGATTGACGTGAATTGGATTGAATTCACGAAGAGCTTTGGTGAATCTCATTTAGCGACAAATACGAATTGGAGTTATGTTGCAATTCTCCTGTATTTGATAAGCCTCTATTGAACTGACGAACCCTCAATTCGTTCGATTTCAGTGAAGTAGTTTTCTAAGCTTTAATTCTTTCTAATTCGTCTGCACGAATTCAATAAATGCGTTAGTCAATTCGTTTGAATTCGTGAGTTTGATCAGTTTAGTTCGCTAAACGCCGCCAAGGGAGGGCGAACATCACTCTTCTTGCAGTTGAGGTGCCACTAGATTTGTATATAAGAAGTGAACTAAAATTTTTTTCTCGTTGAAATATTTTTATGTCCGATGTCTCTCCTATTTATTAGGATGTGAGACAAACTTTTTTTTGGAAGAAATGGTTTCACTAATACTGTGATGACAATTTTTTCATTTTAATTTAATTAGTAAATATAAAATAATAATAACTATTAAAAAATAATAAAAATAAAAAAAGAATTTTTTTTAAATAATTGATTTTTTAAATTATTAAAAATTTTAATATTGGCTTATTATTGATTGCCAATAATTTGCCAATTATGGTTGCCAATCATTGGCAACGGCTTGGACAGCCCATGACTTTACTAATAATGGTCCATTACTTGGTGCCATTATTGAAATTATATTGGCATCCCTGGCTCCCATTATTGGGCCATTAAGACGTTAATGGTATTTTTCCTATTGGGAATTCATTTCTATTCATTTCAATTCATTGTGACAAATCAGCAAGCGGGATTCAGAAGAATTCAACCAAAAGGCAATTCATTTTAATTAGTTTTTTTTACTGGGACATTTATATACATTATGGCCACATGTTTACAACCACAATGCAAAAAGACAGGTAGCTGGCGCAGTAAAACCCAATCACTGCTAAAAATACGCTGTCAAATTTAAATGTAAAAGTTTTTAACACTCATTGTTATAAACAAATTTCAGTACTGCATTTTGCCATAAGATGCGAATAAATTATTCGTGGAAAAACAAAATGAATTAAATCTTTAGAAGCATTTAAAGTGTCTTTACCGATAGTGAATTAAAATTTTTTCTAAAAGTTTTTTGTCTCTTTATGTTTAGGTCATTTCCACTAATTTTTTCAAAGTGATCACAATGTTTAATGCATAAAAATTAGCTATCATTAATAACTTTCGACGTACGAAAAAAATTCGCATAAACATTTCATGTATTAATTATTCTATGACTATTTTGAAAATGTAGAAAATGGGGAGTTGTGCTCCAGCGTTAGTGGGGGGTTGTGCCTCACATCATATTTAACAGTTATTAATTCTAATATGCACTCTCTATTTTTATTTTGCATTATATATGAATAATTAGAATGTTTTATGCAATTTAAATATTGTTCTTTAGTGAAATGAGACTTTTTACATCTGTATTCACTGTAAATGAAATTAATTACCTAGTTTCATTGAATTATTTTTAAAGTAATTTAATTTTATCTAAATTATCTAAAATTAATCTTTTACTTTATTTTATGTAAGTTATCTTACTTTTCCACATTTCATAATTCAAATGAAGAATATTCTAAAAAAATATGTCTTTTTCTTCAATTTTCAACGGTGCAGCACTGTTTTTGAAAAATCATAAAACCAGTATTTTCGAAAAACAAGCAAAATTTCTATTTCCGTTTTGAGTTTTAATTAATCAATTATGCCAAAAGTTGTGTTTGTACGTGTACTAAAATTTATATATAATAGAATAGTCAATAAAACAATTTATAGAATAGTTTTGATCGAAAAACAAAACCTGGAGCACAACTCCCCACTCTCCCCTAATAATAGATTTTGCCGTATTAATACAATTAAATTATTATTTATTACTATTTTAATTATTATAATAATAATATTTATTATTTTAATTAATAATTCTAACTACGTCAAATGAATGATTTGATTTTTTTTAAAAAATTAAAAGCATGCAATGTTAGCAGAACAGTCGGAAATCTCGGTCAGAAATAAATTTTAATTAGTAGATTTTGATTAGGGATTTTGACGTATGTCTTTATTCTGTTATGTGTGATTAGATTTATTGGTAAGTAAGTCCTTTACGACCAACTAATTATATTAAAATGATTCTGAGGAAGAAAGAATATCAAGTTTAGAAAATTGCGATAGAATATTATGAAGTTTAGTTTCATTTTTAAATATTTTGAGAAACTAATTGTGGGATTTGATTACGGCAAATTTACGTCAAAATCATGTGTGTTCAGATTTTTTTTATTCTTTCATTTACAGTGGTTGCACTGCTAACTTGATATCAAGTTAGCAATGCACCGTTTTTTAAAAATAATCAAAAACAGCAAATTGGAAATTTCACGTATAATTAGCGGCAAATTCTCCAATATTGGATTTTTGATTTTACGAAAGTTGTTTTTCTAACTTGATATATCTGAAATATTATTGAGAGAGATTTTTTTGTAATTCGCGCTTTTATTAATTTCTTATGATTTATTTGAAATATATAAACAAACTATTAGATTGATATTTATTACTACTTTCATAAAACAGTATTTTCATTTTTTACCAAATAAAATTTTCTCATCTTGCTAATGGGCAATTCCACGTGAAATTTACCTATGACATTTTAAATTCGAATAAATACAATTTTTTTCGTTCTTGTAGAAAAAAGGTATACATATTTTTTTTATAAATACCCAAATTTTCAAGTTTTGAATTTTTAAATATTTGTGTTTCTCGAGGTAGACCTAATTTCAATGACATCTAACTCTAAAAGTATTGAATTTAGGAATTTTTGCCAAGAAAAAAGTTTCAGTTATTCATTCGCTGTTGAAATATGTTACCGAAAAAAATTTGCATTTTTATATAAAAAGTAGAGGTGTGCAAAAAGCTCGAATATCCGAGCCGAGTCGATGCCGAGCTTAACTCGAGGTATCGAGTACACGAATGAATTCGAGCATATTAAACATTCATTTTTTATTGTTTTACAAAAATGACTAAATCAGTCAACAGATAAACGCATGACTACACATTTGGAATTAAAAACTCATGAAAAAAAAGTAAATAGCTTACAAACATTCGAATATTCAAATTCAATTTTCACAAGTACTCGAATATTACTGCTCTCACAAAAGGTAGTCACACGTTCCGAAAAGTAAAGAAAATTAAAAATTTTGATTTTTGAAAATTATTACTTTATAGGAAATAAAAAGGCGCATCTTGAATTAGTTCAAGCATTATGGATTAAAATTGTAATCAATCTGAATTTAAATTCATTCTAATTCTAACCAACCATCAATTCAATTAATCCAAAATAGAATTCATCCAAATTCCTATTTAATTAAATTTTATTCGATGCAAATTTCAATCCATTTAACTTTCAAATTATCCAAATTTTAATTGATTATAATTTATTTTAATAATAAATAAATAATTTTTTTGACCTATTGAAATCGGCCTTTTCATAAATCTTATTAAATTATTGATTTAAGTTTCAAATTATCCGAATTTCAATTGAGGCTCCCATTTCAAGAAAATTTGTCTAAATTTTAAAGTACTAATGCTTCAATCATTAATGAAAAATTTCAATTAATCAAAATTTGAATAGATACAATTTAGTCATTTTTGGTCAATATTTTAAATTCAAATTATTAGATTTATATTATTATAATTCATTAAATTTAATAACATTTTTTGTCAGGGAAAATTTCTTAATATCTTGGAAACTAAAATTGAAAAATTTATTCTTATGATAATATTGATAATTTACTTAAATTGATTTTTCAAAATTATTAATAATATATCTTATTTTTTAAAACTTATTAGTTAAACCTTATTAAAACAAAGTAAAAAATATTATTATTAATGTAAATGTATTTTTTTCAGGGCAACAGTCACTATCTTTGTAAAAATGATTTGTTTTTTCGCATTGTGTAAAGTTATATTTATTCTCATATTTTTCCCACTTATATTATTGTATTGGAGAAGAGTTTTTGCCAAGAAAAAATCAGAGAATACTCATTTAGGACCAATAATTGGTGTATTTCATCCATACTGTAATTCCGGAGGAGGAGGTGAAAGAGTTTTATGGGCTGCAGTAAAAATCATCCAGAATAAGTAAGAATAACACAATTAAGAAAAGTATTAACTTTATAATTATGTTAAGGAACCAATTTTAATTTAATTTTTTTCTACAATCCAAATTTAACTCCAAAAATGTGCTTTAGTTTATAGAAAAAATAAAGAAAATCATTAATCATTAATTAACGGAGTTAACTTTTAAATTAACCTAGCGACTCCACTAGTTTTGTTTCATTTTAAATTTCTTTTTCATACATTTTATCTTTAAAAATAATATAATTTCTTCTTCCTTTTTTTATATGCCAATTTATTTTTCAACATTGTTGAGAATTTAACCCTTAACTGGCACAATTCAGCGTTCGAACATAAATGGCACAACGGGTCTGCTGGACCCTACGTATTCAAACGTTTATTGTACAGCAGGTATTTAATATTTTGGCACAAAAATTTAATCTAAGGTAGCTTATGATGTATTTTTTAAAATGTAATTAGTTTTACAGGAATTAATTTATTTGAAGTTTGTAACGGGTTTTTTTTATCTATAATAAAATAAACTCGCATCTAACTCGCCAATTCCACAACACCTATTTACGGAAAAATCGCACAAGGGGATTCGCCAAAAACTAAAACGTTTGATGCGTAGACGTTGAGGCAGGCCGAAAATTTAAACACACTTACCTTGACGACGCTCAGCTGACTCGATTTGACGCCGCTTTTCAAGGATAGAAAATATCTAGCCAAAGAGAACACACACTATTAACAAGATATAAAATAAGATATATATATATATATATGATCAATAATCGGAAACACGTCTGCTCAACGATAATCAGGAAATTGAACTCCTAGAAGATCCCCCTGCCGGTCCTTAGATCCCCAATATGGTTCTATCTTTCTTATTCCTACAGACAGCCCATACCTACGAAGTAACTATTCGGCCCTATTCGCCGCCCCCCGTGAACGTTCGTACGTCACGCCTGCGTAATTTAGTCTTTTGACAGATTTCGCGAAAGGTACTGATACTAGACTGCCACATAGAAAAGCAAGATCCTTTATCGAACCAACGACTGAAAATCATATTAACGAATGCTTCGTTACAATCCCCTTCCCTAGGCCGATGTTACTCTTAGTAATATCGCCTATCAATCTCACAAAGAACCATAAAATTAAATCACGCAAAAAACAATTAAAGGGGGAAAGTAAGCATTCTAAACACATTTCTAAAAATGAAAATTTATTAATTTTTAAACACAAAAGGAAGAGAAAGAAGAATAAATCCAGTAATATTTCATTTAACACAAAATCGTTTTGAGATCTCCTTTCCTTTAACTTAGGCAGCGAGAGAACCGGCGAACAACGACGGTTCTCTGGTGGAGAATCCTTCTTCTCCACCAGCCGCTGAGTAATTCGTGAAAACGAGCCTATATCACGTTGCCTCAAGAACTCCGCATGTACACGTGAACATCGTGGACAAGTCGTCAGCGTTTCTCCTCTTCTACCACAGTTTTTGCAGAACGTTGCCCATTCCGTCGGGCAATCAAGTAGCCAGCAATTGAAGTAGGATCACATAGGTGGATCCACCATTGGATCCGTGACAATGGGATCCACTAATTTCCACCCCACTTCATCGCCAGCTATCGAAAGTAGTAATGGGTCATTCCGATGACGATATAGCCTCTCGTCTTCAACCAACCAGCCAGGAAACCTCTTCGGAAAATTCAAGATCATCTCTTTTCTCCTCAAGTACCACGGATCTGTGATTGTCTCAAAGGCCGCTATCTCGGCCTCTTCTTCATGCGAGACAATGCGTCTGGTACATGGTGATTCGCACCCTTCCTTTGTACGAAGTCGACATCCCACTGCTGCATCTTTAATGCCTAGCGTGCAAAACGTTCTGTAGGATCCTTGAGATTCCTCAGCCACTTCAGCGTACTATGATCCGTTATAGCCTTAAATTTAGAGCCTTCCACATATGGTCTAAATGTCCGAATAAATCCCGTGACAAAAGACTGTTTCAAAAAGAAAAACAAAACTGCATCAACAGAACAGTGGGAACTAATGCAAACCCTTAATATAATGTTATTGAGAGTTCTAAATACAATTGGACATTTGAATATAATATTAAATTCCTAATAATAACATTTTGCTGCCCTAAAGTGGCCCGTTGCGATTTTCTCGGGGGCCCAAAATTTGAAGCTACGCCACTGGCGATATCTTTTTGTAATATAGGTATATATATAATCAATAATAGGAAATACGTCTGCTGAACGATAATCGGGAAATTGAACTGCTTGAAGATCCCCCTACCAGTCCTTAGATCCCCAATATAGTTCTATCTCTCTTACTCCTACAGACAGCCCAAACCTACGAAATAACCATTCGGCCCTATTCGCTGCCCCCCGTGAACGTTCGTACGTCACACCTGCGTAATTCAGTCTTTCGACAGATTTCGCGAAAGGTACTGACACTAGACTGCCACATAAAAAAGCATGACCCTTTATCGATCCAACGACCGAAAATCATATTAACGAATGCTTCGTTACAAGTTAGACAAAAAAATTGTAAGCTCGAAAAAATGCTCGGGACTACTGGACCCATGGTGCCAGTTAAGGGTTAAAATTGTAATTACTCTTGAGCATGAAAAATTTGAAACAAATTTTATAATTTAATACATTTTTTTAATAAATTTGAACTTTCAATAATAATTTAATTTAATTTTTACCGAGCGAAAACAAATAAAAACTTTGGTGTACACCTACTTCATACTTCAAAATAATTCATAATTACACGATACTTCAGATAATTCAGGATAATATTCACATACATACTTCAAGTTAATTCAAAATAATTCATAGTAATTCGAGATAATTCAAAGTATTTTATGTTAATTCAAAATACTTTAAATAATTCACGTCATTCAAGATAATTCAGAATAATTGAACACAAGTGTACATCTAAATTCACAAATTATTTCTCACTCGATTTCTACGCTCTTTCAGGATTATAAATAATCAATTGTATATATTTTTAAAATTTTATTTTTTTACAAAATTAAAATTCCTATAAACTAAAAAATTCTAAAACGGTGAAAAATTATTTTTTTTAATAAAATAATTTAAGATTTTTAAAAATACCAAAAGCAAATGACACCCTTAAAGAATATAAATTTTGATTCGTTGAAATTTGAATTTAAAATTAAATTTTTTCCATAATTTTAACTATTTTTCATCTAAAATCAATGGTTCTTGAATGAAAACTTATTATTCGTGAGAGCCAATAAAAGAGCCATTATTCACAAAAAAACTCATAGAAAAAATGTATTTTATCTTAAATAATTTATAAATTAATTTTCTTAAATTGTGTTACTTATTTTAAGCTCATTTCAAATGTGAAAATAAGAGTATTACGCACGAGTATCATACTATATTTTTGGAGACCTGTTAAACTCGATCGCAAAAATCAATCAATTTTGAGTAATGAACTACCTTTTATTTGAAAGCTTAATACCTTAAAGTACTTACTCTACATTAACATTACCTTACACTGTAAAATAAGTAAATTATAAAATTTTTGATAAATAAAAGTTTTCAAAATCGCGATTTTCAAAAAAGGTGAAACGAGGTGGTGAGTTCCATTAAACCATTAAACAACCATTTTTAATGAAAAGTCACACCCTTTTATTTAAGGTCAGAAGAAAGATTTCTTTATATTCTTCAATTATTCGCCTAGATTGTGTATTAAGATATGTTAGCCAAATATTATAGTAGCTACTAAAAACCATGCAAAAACCATTGTTGATTCAAAGTTACAAATAATCCTTGAAAATACTTTAAAAAAACTCCCTTATTTTTTTAACAATAATAAGCAAAGATTGTGAATTTAGATGATTTTAAAATATATTATAGTAGCTACCAACAACCATTGATGATTGAAAGTCACACACAATCACTGAAAATGCTTAAAAAGCCTTCCTTATTTTTTTCTAATAATAATACGCCTTGATTGTGTATTTAGATGATTATAAAAAATATTATTGTAGCTACCAACAACCATACAACAACTATTGTTGATTCAAAGTCACACATAATCATTGGATCTTAGTGTCTGGCGTACCCTAGGTATCAGAAGACACTTGTTATATGTGCACATGTTCCCTAGGGGCGTGCACCTGATCTGCAAGTGCAGTAATACTCTTCAATTGGATCTGCTTAATTTCTTTGGACAGGTCTTTTTTTATTTTATCCACAACTGATGCTTTCCTTAATTTCTGAATCTTGAAAGAAATTCTTATTCTAATCAATCGGGGAACAATGTCTTGGTTACGTGGAATTTCTAACTTGAACACTTGATTGTTTTCTCTTTGGAGTTTATCTTGAATGTATGCTGGAGACAAGTTTATTTGATATTGTCCAAAAGTTATTCTTCTTAAATATTTTAGTGTAAGTCGTTGAAAATCTGGAACTTTATTGTCATTTAAAAGTATCTACCTTCTTGCATTTCTTCTGTGCAGTTCCTCAAGCTTTACGTAAGCTTGAACAACATATGTCTCTTTTGATTTTTGTAGCATTTGCCTTGCCAACTCTGCATTTGCTTCTTCCATTTGTATTCGCGGATAGTATCAGATAAGAATTGCGCCACAAATAAGTAAAAAATGTTGAAGGTTTTGTAAATGAATGATACTCATTTTTGAGCAAAGAATTTTAGGACGTTTATCGCTTCTACAGAATTTTTTAAAAATAATTTGATTTCTATGTAATATGTAATATTTTCTGAAGAAAATAATCCTCTAAAACTTCACCGTGGGGATTTTTAAACAAGCAAGCCGTTACAACAAATAGCTGTATTTTCCAAACGCCTTACTTGTTTGAATATCCCCACGGTGAAGTAGTAGAGAATTATTTTTTGAAGAAATTAAGCCACATTTTATTGAAATCGAATCATTTTTAAAAAATTCTGTAGAAGCGATATAACAAAAAAAATTTATTCTATGCAAATTGTATAAACAAATAAGTTTTGCAGGTTTTAAATTTTTTTTTTGAAAATTAATATCTCCCCTTTCAGAAAGTACAATTAATAATATTATTTTAATTATATAAATGTTAATTAATTATTTTTTTCAAGAGGTCTGCATTTCCGTGGATAAACTTCCTTAAAAACTGATATCATATGTCTATTGACACTCTTAACAACCCATCTATTTTTCGTTATTAAGCCAGACTCGTTGGGTTTTTCCGTTGACAATTGATTTTGTCCTTGGAATATGTATTGTGGCATTGACCAGTCAATTCCTAATTCTATCAATAATGAAATTGTGTACAAATTTGACTTTTTCGGGGTGAAAGGTACGATTTTTTTTAAATCGAAAGCTGAGATTTTTTCCTACAAAAATATATAGTTGAAAAAATGGGACAAGAATTTTTTTTGTCATAGATAAGTTTCTGATACGATGATGTGGTCGAACAAGATTAACAGACTTTAATTTTAGTATACGTAAAGTAATTATTTTCCACACTAAGATTTACTTTAATCATTGCTGGCAGTGTGTAAAATAAATGCTTTTCACACTGTTAGAAAAATTGGCACTATACACACACTTTTCTGTATGTAGAATCCAGCTTTACAGGTTACTGTTGCAAAACGTTAATTTAACATTCAGTGAATATTTTAAATTAATTTATTTTGGTAATCGGGTGCAAAAACAAATAATTGAAAATCCGAGTACTAGGTAAATTTTATTTTTATTCAATATGTATGTGTTGAGAGACAAGAGGTTGTGCTCAGGACGAAGGCTCAGAAGGTACTGACTAAATTGCAATTAGGAAGGGATACATTTAGGTGTAAAAATGAGTTATGTACTGTAGTTACCGATGCCTAATAGGTTTGCAAGTCTAGACTTGCATAAATTGGGAAAAACAAAGTAATAAAACGGCAGATGTGAAAACTCTGAAATACTCTGAAATTGTACAAAAATGTCTGCAATAGATAATTTTAAGAATTGAATAAGATATATTATTTTCTTAACACAACCATTAAAAATCGATATAATTTGTTTATTTAATATAATAAGCCTAAAGAGTAAACATTATTAAATGTGTGTGTGTTGTATAAATGTTTGTGTGCTATGTAATATATTTGTTATTTTTTATTTAACAATTAGTTATTTGCTATACGATGATATTAGAAAATATTCGTGTAAGTGTGGGTACGTGTTTAAAATAGTAGCCACATTATATTTTCATAATTTTTTAACAATTTAAAAAAAAAGTTACTCAAAATAACTTTAAAAAACTGTCATTTTTAATAAGCATATTTTCTATTTGTTATTTTGTGAATAACGTGTTTTCTACACTGAGAGAAAGAGACATGACTAGAGTTTAATGTGCAGACAAGAATAGTTCCTAGGGAACGTTCTCAAATGATGTCACGCACTGAGGGAGAGGAGGTCTTTGTCAAACGTGACAATGTATTTTTTCTATAAGAAAATATAGAAAAATAGCGTGACAAAGGGGTAGGAGTAAAAAATCTTGAAAAAGTGCATTACATCATTTATGAACGCTCCTGCTATCCAACAGAATAATTTCAATTAGACAATACTTTTTGCTCTCCAGATAGGAACCATTTATATATAATATCCTATATTATAACATATATTTTAAAAGATAAACGAAAACGAAAAAAAACTTATATTTTATTGATTAACAGACATCCTAATGCACATGTAGCAATTTATACTGGAGATTTAGATGTAGATCCTGAACAAATTTTACGAAAAGCTGAAAAATGTTTTGACATTAAATTAGAACCTGGAATTGAATTTGTCTATTTACATAGAAGAAAATGGATTGAAGCCGAAACATATCCTTACTTTACGCTTTTAGGACAAAGTTTAGGTTCGATGTGGCTTGGATGGGAAGCGTTAAATGCTTTACAACCAGGTAACAAGTATTTATAATATTCAAACATTTTTGTATCTACATCAAAAATGGTACATGGAAAAATTTATTTCATTACACTTTAAGATAATAATTTTCTTGATTATATTACAAGCTAATAACTTATAATATCAGTAGTTAAATGGGAGTCATTTGAGTTTCCCATAAAAATCATTAGATAAAATTTTCATTTTATAGAATTTTATTAGGTATTATCATAATTTTTTAAGACAAATTTTCATATTTTTAGAATTAGTGTTTGGCAGAATTTCTTTTAAACGAATTTTTACTTAACAAATTTTTAGGTACCGAATTTTTGTTTGGCACAAATTGTCATTTGACAGAATTCTTATAGCGCCGAATTTCTATTTGTACGAAATCGTAAATCGCCGACAAAGGGTACGGTCACACTATCTCATGCATACAGAAACATTTGGCCGGTCACACTTCAACGAAATCTAGTGAATGTTTATTAACTTTCTAGTTACAACCGAAATTTTTGGAAAATTACTATGAAGTTACTAAACATTCTCTAGATTTCGTTGAAATGTGACCGGCCAAATATTTTTGCATGCATGGGATAGTGTGACCGTTCCCAAACAATCTACAGAAAGAATCTGACTCGAATTTTAAAATTAACTAATCACAATCACCTTGATAATTTCTGATTGGTTAATTTTTAAATTTCGGACACATGTAGATTCGGTAAAGTTGAAATTCTGGTATTTAAAATTTTGTATCTCTTCAAATTCTGTTGAACAAGAATTCTGCTAAATTAATATTTGGTTAATTAAATTTTTCAAAATAATGTATTTAATAAAAATTCGGTACATAAAAATATTTTTAAGTAAAAATTCGTTTACAAAAGAAATTCTGGCAAATGCCAATTCGAAATATAAAAAATTGTATAGAAAATAATCATATCTAATAAAATTGCATAAAATTAAAATTCTAACCACTAATTTTTATGGGATCTAACCACTAATTTTTATGGGAAATTAATGCAAAGAAAAAGTTGTGAGAGTATTTTTTGAAATATTTTTAAGTTTTTAAATATTTTAAGTTTTTATAACACAATTAGATGTAGTTTTTCTTATGAGTCAATTGGTATATAAAATAAATGACTTTCCTATGTTTAAATATTTAATGAATTCAAATAAATTTTAGATATCTATATTGATACGATGGGGTATGCATTCACATATCCAATTTTTAAGTATGTTGGTGGTTGTATTGTTGGTTCTTATACTCATTATCCAACAATTTCCACGGACATGTTAAGACATATTTACCGAAGAACAATTTCTCACAACAATAGACGCGCCATTGCAAGAAATCCTTTTCTATCAGCAGGAAAAATGATTTATTATAAATTATTTGCATTAGTAAATATCTTTTTTATTCAACAATTCATATTATTAATTCATTTATTGTAGTATTATAAAAATGACTTTTTTTTAGTTATACGGGTTTGTTGGAAGAAAAGCCGACAGTATAATGGTAAATTCTTCCTGGACTGAAGGTCATATTAATTCAATTTGGAAATGTCCCTTAAAAACTCATCGCGTTTATCCACCATGTGACGTAGAGCATTTAACAAAATTACCATTGCAAAGCGACGATCAGAAGGATTCCATTAGAATAATTTCTTTAGGTCAATTTAGACCCGAAAAAGATCATCCTCTTATGTTAAGAGCAATGTATGAATTAAGGTCCATTGTCAGTGAAGATGTTTGGGAGAAGGTTAGTAAACAAAATCACATTCACTTTTCTTTTTTTTTGTAGAGATTCTTTTATTTTTTGATACAGTCAGGTTCTCGGTTTCCACTACTCTATGAACTCTTTTTCTTTTAGTAGAAATAACAATTTTTTTTTCTTCGAAAGACCACTTATTTGGACGCAAAGGAAAATAACAACATGGTTGATCGTATAAACCATTAAAAATACAATACGAACAACTTAAATGATTTAAATTATAACGATGGATATTAATTTTCTAAATTAATCGCGTCTCCATGCTATTCAATACACTTTCTTACAATTTCTACACAAAAGGGGGAACCTTTGTGAAACATTCCGGAGCGATGCTGACCACGTTTTCCAAAACTGAAAATTGACAATAATTATTATACTTACTACTGAACTCGGCTTCCAAATTGAGTGGTCAAACGCAGAGATAATAATCAATGAAATTACGAATACACATATAACTATAATCTTTATTTATTATCAAAGTACATACAATAGATTTACATCACTTATATTAATAATTAAATTTTAATGCGTGATCGCATAAATATTACGTGCAGTAATATTTGGTACATTTTCTTTAAGCAGTTAAAATATAGGTTCTAAATGTACCCAGATAGACCCAGCGTTGTGGCGGAGACATTTAGAAATGTTTCAAAATGAATGGCATTCTACTTTGGATAATTCATTTTTGCAATAGAAAGCACTAGTGTGAAGAGTGCGTGTTTTTTTTATTTTCATTAAATGAAAATTACGGATGTTATGAATTTTTAAAAATTAACGTCTTCTGAAATATTATACTTTTGCTACTAAAATACATCAAAAATTAAATTTAATTCTAAAAAGTTACTTTTCTCAAAACCGAAGTCATCGATTTTTAATTTTTTTCTTTTAACGCAATCATTAATAAATGAGGAATTTTTTCACTATTATGCGAGAGTTCTTTAGCGTTTAAACGATATTTGCAATTATTTAGATCGTTGCATAGAGTTTACAGTATGTATTTTAGAAATGAAATCACTTCAATTTCCATTTCTTTGGTAAGTCATTTGTTTTGTCTTGAGATTAAAGGTTAATTTTTTAACAAGTGTAAAAGTTGATAAAAAATTCTTTGATATTATATTATTTATATAATGAAAAAATTTTCAGAACAAAAAACATAAGAGAAGCAGAAAAAGTTTGTCAGATCCCTACTGTTAATTCCTATATGAGATCCTTTATAAGATCGCTTATGGTTTCTTATATGAGATTCTATACGAAATCTTATAAGGTCATCTCGTAAGAAGAATCTCATCAGTGTCCATACAGAATTCCATATAGGATCCCATATGTGGTCGAAATTTGAAAAATAAAATTTGTGAATATCTCAAAAACAGTAAGAGATACGCAAAATCGGACAAAATTTTGAGTTCATTTTATATAAAGCAAAAATATTTTATGTTTAGAACCTAAAATATGTCTCCTATTTAAAAAAAAAAAAAACTACTACATATTCCTCTGTGGGATCTTATGTGAGATCTCATATAGAATTCTATATGGACACTCATGAAATTTTTCTCATGAGTTGCCATATAGGATTCTTGTAAGCACGAAGTAGTATAAGGAGACGTAACGCCATGCATTCAAAGCAACCCTAAATGCGTGTCCTAGAGTTACTAAGGTTTTCGAATAATGCTCTTGTAGCGCCTCTACTGAGATAAATCGGAATCAAAATATGTCGTCTGCTATCGCGTAAACAACTGTAGTTGACAGCAAAAGTGTTTTGATCACGAAGTGGTTTTGATAAAATATTGTGTAATAAATAAATAATAAAATAAATATTGTGAAATATTAAATATTAAATACTGTTCGAGCCGAAAAAAACTTCGATTTTCTCCATTTTTTTCTTCTTTTGTAGTTATTTTTGATCCACATCCTTTTATAAAACATGACATTTCACTGATAACATTAACAAAGCACAAAGTGCAAGCGCGAAACACCGGTTCAAGACAATTTGTCAGCACATGCGAGCGCGTGATAAATTTTAATTCTCTATTTCTCCACGCGCGGCGTCCTCATCGCATTATTAGAAAAATGCGTAAACTCTAGGACACGATTTTGGGGCTCACTTTCACCACAATCTACTATGGGCGTTACGTCTCCTTATACTACTTCGTGCTTGTAAGATATCAAATAGTATCCCATATGAGTTACCATAAGTGATCTTATACGGGAACTTACAATAAGTTTGCGTTCAAATCATTATGGAGGTGCGTGATGTTATATATGTCGCAGAGAGTCCAGAGAGCTACAGGCCACAGTACACACGTCGCTGGGTAGCAGTAAAGATCAGTTCATCCGTAGCCAGTCGTTTCGAGATATTGTCTGAATCCCTGACGTTGCGAAATAAACGTCAGAGGATTAAAAAATAGAGGCTCGGCAGATCAGATGCATAATCATACGATGCAGTGTACCTAAAGTCGTTGCGATTGCGTTAGACGAACTGTCCATCAAAGCGTACAAGGCACAAGGAAGCAAGATGTGAAGCAAAGACCTTAAGGCTGCCCCACAAAAGCAACTCATGTCCACGTCCCAGCGCATTCTCTCAAACTGTTTGGCAGTACAAACAAGACCCGTACGCAATCTTGTTATCTGATTAATATAACTCCGCGGCAACGTAATGTCCTCAAACCAGGGTCTGACATCTCCAAAACCAGCTCGAGTAAAATATCTGTTAGAGAAAGGCCACAGGTAAGACAGTCAGGCCTGTCTATCAGGATCAAAAACAAGAGATCGAAGATCGGACATGGTGGTCGATGATATGCACTCGATTACTTCCTTTGTTAATTTCTTTACAAATGCGATCAACTCGCTCATTTCCCTTTATGCCAGAGTGCGAAGGAATCCATAGAAAACGTATACCAGTGGAGAAAGATATTGGGAAGACCTTGGGGATAGCTTCTAGGATACGATAAACTAAGTCCGGTCCCTTTTTGAAGCGTAAACAATTAGAAATACGATTGATGGCTGACAGGGAATCGGAGATAATAAGTGGATCAGGTAAAGAATGCACGATGGAATTTTTTATTGCTCTAAGTATGGCATACAGTTTAGCTGTAAGGATAGAAACGTTAGGCCGCAAAGAAGTACCCTAAAAAAATTGCTTGACTCTACATAGAATACTCAAGCCGCCAAGCCATTAGAGGGGTCATAGGTGCCATCGGTGTAAATCAATGTAGATTTGGGGTATGAGTCTCTGATCAACTCTCGGAATGCCTCTTTGGGATTAGAATTCAGTCTCTTAAATTCCGCTCGGTTAGCTGCAGATTGATTGCTATTGATACCAGGTGTTGAGAGAACTTGTATGTCGAAAAGTGGAATTCGTTTATTTGCGATGTTGGACGAAAAGGGACGAATAAGGATAAGAACCTTTGAGTGTCGTGCGAGAGGTGTGAGTCAGTTATGAATTTAGCAGTAGAGGATATACAGGAAAACGATTGTGGAGTGATAAATAAATCAAATATGAATTAGCAAAAATCCTGTTTTATTTAAAGTTCTGTATTTTGTGATAAATTCCCTCACACCTGTTCTGTCTTCATTTGGGACAAATTTTGGTTACGTTTTAGTAACATTGTGGCGACCGTGACAGGACTCTAATTGAAGAATTTTAAGTGTTGGCGAATTTTATCAAAAGCGTGTTCAAAATGGATGCCATGAAGAGAACTCGAACGATCCATAGAGCAGCTTTTACAAAAACTCTGAGTGAATTGAATGGACTTCTGGAGGACGAAGATCCTGATAAGGATCAGATCGCGATTATTTTTGAATTACTGCAAGAAAAAAATGAGCGAATTGGATAAGGCCTTGATAGCGGTTTTCAATGTGATTCTTTCACAAGACGCGAGTGTGGATATCAGCGCCATTTTTGAAACTGAAAGAGCGTCTACTGATGAATATCGGAAACGATTTCTGTCTACGAAAAGAAAAGTGTCTCATTTTTTAGAGCAGTGTCAAAGGGTAAGATCTGTTAATTCAACTCTGGTAATAGTGCCTGTGAATAATAAAAAAGTTTTTCAATTGCCAAAAATTGAAATTGTGAAATTTTCTGGAAATGTGCGTGACTGGTTAATGTTCTGGAATCAGTTTCGAAAAATTCACGAGGACCCGGACATCGACGCGGAAGATAAGTTTCAGCATCTGATTCAATCGACAGAACCAAAATCTCGAGCTTTTGAGTTGGTAATTAGCTCTCCGCCTACGAGAGAAAATTATGAAAAAGTTATTTCTAGTTTAAAAAATCGGTACGGTAGAGACGAATTACAAGTAGAAGTCTATGTACGTGAATTATAAAGTCACGTTTTAAATAACGTAATACGAGAAAAAGGAAAGGTCTCTCTTGTTAATTTGTACGATAGACTAGAAACAGTTAGTACAATGTGCAATGCGATTCGGGTATGTCTGTGGATGGAGATTGCCTCCCAAATTACAGATCTCCAGAGGAGACAATTCCAAATCAACGTCATGAGCCAACGCTTTTCTACTAACTAGAGACCTAGGAATATACAATTTGTACCCGCAATCGTTATCCCTCATGGAAACAATCAAACAGTTGGCAAGTATCCAGATGGAGGAGGTCACTTGATTGATTGACTCCGTTAGCCACCACCACACGATAGCAATCCTATTATATTTGCCAATCTTCTGGTTTGGTTTTAAGGTCATAAGAATATGTAATCGTCTGACCAGAAAAAGTTTGTAAGGCAGATGCAGATGTAGCCCGAATTTCATCCCGAACGACAGTTACTTGATCCAAGGAATCAGATTCACATGGGGGGTAAATCTGAAGAGATAGGTCAGTGATGGATGTTGTCATAGCCTAAGGAACATCATGTGGTGACGAAGGTTCAGGTTCCATGAGAGCAGAATGTAATTGAGCAGATGACAGAAAGTTTGCCCCTTTTTCAGGAGGCGAAAGTTTTACCCAATTTCGAGGAGCACCAACAAGCAGAGGAACCAAAGGCATAGAGCGCAACGAAGACCCCGAAGGGGCTGAAGTTAGACTGTCTACAGAATTAAGTGTCAATCCTAGCTTGATGATAGAGGGATCCATACGAAAATTCCTACTTCCTAGGTGTTATTGGAGCCATATCTAGACTCAAAAAGAATTCATCAAACCCGAATCAAAAAGAACCAGGCGGCACCAAATGAGGGTCTAAATCCTACTCAATAGTAAAAAGTAATACGGAAACAAAAATCACCTATTGAGTAAGAACTTATAAAAGGAAAGCAAAATAAACAAATAAATAAGAATAAAAACTAATAATTAACAAAATGAAACAAAGATAGATAGAATAAAATAGAACAAATTAATAGGTCAAAAAACAAATAAACAACAACAAAAAAATAATAAATATAAATAAATTAGCAGTTAAACAATTAAAATGTTTCAATAAAAGTAAAACAAAACGGTAATTCAAACTATAGAACTGGCATAAAGCTGTGTTACACTAAAATTATAAGGTTTATATGGCTCATTTCATTTAAATTGTCATATTCGTGTCCCTTGCCAAAAAAAATTATTTGATATAACCTTAGTTGAAATTAATTTGTTTATATAGTAAAAAGCAATGATTTTTAATAAATTTTCTACTTACAAGGACATAAAAGTGATTTTCATAATATTGGTAGAACAAAAAGCAGGCAAAATGTCATAAGTGTAATGCGTCCCCGGAGACATTTTCAATGTTCAAATGAATGAAATGTCGAAAATATAGTGTTTAAACCAGATTAAAAAAAATGTTTCGTGAAGTATTAGTTCTATATTTAAGGAAAATCAAGTGTTGGTAATTAAACTTTATTTTATACAATTTACAGAAAATGAAAATGACGTGTCCCTCACTTTTGTATTTTTACGTTTTGCCGGCAGAATTTTCAACTTTTACCTGCTATTTAAATTACCTTATGAGCAAAAAAATTTCTTTACCATCGCATAAACAGCAGAACACAACAACGAAGTGTGTGAAAAAAACGAAAACGATATAAGTATAAATCTGCTCGTTTGTCATGGTGGCAGAAAAAGCCGAAACACTTTCGTAATTGAATTTCTGTCAACAGTGTAACGCCTTGAAAATGGTTAGAAAATATTTTGAATTTTATATCGGTATGGAATTGAATGTATTTTTGGATTCTCTTTCGAATGAGACCAACCCCGTCGATATAAGTATAACCGTTTTCATTTTATAAACGAAAAACGAGCAAAATGTCAACAGTGTAATGGTCATAAGTGTAATGCAAATTTTTATATATGGCTTCAGTAAACGTAATAAATCACAGAGGCCTACAAAATAAAACTTTTTTCTTTTATCTTGATATCAGAATGGTTTCTAATGTATTTTTGGGTGCTGAACACGATCCCGGATCTTAAAATTGCCTAGCATGTCAGGATTTTGAAAAAAGTGGGGGTAAAAACCCCCAAGAAACATGTTGTTATGGGTGTTTAATATGATTTTTCTCATTAACCTGACGTGGTAAAAACTTCAAAAAAGTTTTTAGATTATAGCATAATTCGTGTACTACATGACCCGTACACGCAACCCTCTTCCCTAATTTTTTCCATAAAATGGAGTTATAACCCACCCTCAAAAAATTTTTATTTTAATTCCTTCGGCGAAATGAATAGATGTGACGTTCCATGAGGAAAGGGACCTTAGCTGCAATAGACGCATTTTCCAGAAAAGATATTTAAAGTAGAGCGTCCCTGATTGGTTGAGACCCTCCATCGAAAATCAGCCCCACCACCTTACTACTACATCGTTCCTACAGCTCACGCTTACGACAAGTATACTAGTGTAGAAGTGGTGGGGATGGTTTCTGTAGTCCGTGCTGGAACGCGATTAACATGGTCATGATTAATGCTTTATAACAAAAAAACTAAATAGAAAAGTACAATTTTTAACTTTTGTATCTGAAAGAGCAACTCAAGATCTATCGACTGATATCAAAAACTCAATTTTCATTTTTTTGCAGCTAAGGTGCATTCTAAGGTATATTCATAATGTATAAGGACATAAATTTTGCATTTTGCCTATATAATTTTTAACCCCTTCGCAGTCCAGTTAAAAATCACTTATAGGCCTAATAAGGTTCCAAACAGAGCTTTCAAAAAAATATGATTTCATCGTATTTAAGATTTTTGGGTTCATCTGTCATCAAATTCGAATTCAGCGACCCCGAAAACCCCTGAGAAACAAATTTCGACCGAATCGCATCAGTCTTGAAATTATCCGCCATATTTGGTCGCCATATTGGATCCACCATTTTAAATTTTGAAAATCTGACGTCATATTTGTAATTAGTAACCCAAAAAGCCCTAAGTAACGAGTTTCAAGCGAATCGAATCAACTTCTAAATTTTCATGGTTGCTATTTTGGATCGGCCATTTTGAATATTTTAAATCTGCCTTCAATTTCAGATTCAGCGACCCCAAAAACTTCAGTATATTTATCACCAGTCAAATCGAATTATATTTAGTATTATTATTTTATCAAAAATTGACAGAAAATTTTTTTTATAAGATATGACGATGTCTGCCAAAAAAAACCGTCTGCCATAAGAAATATATGACTTTAATTTTGTGACCACTATTTATTTTTTTAATTTAACATGTTAAACTGTATAAAAAAATTAGTTTCAACCTTAAAATCAAAATTTTCCAACTCAACTTTTCTGGAAGCTGAATATGACAATTTAAATGAAATGAGCCATATAAGGTTTTTATCGCTTTGGGTGGAATTTGAAGTTGTAGTTTTATGTAAACAAAAATTTAAAAATAATGGGCTGCGATTTAGAATGTATCTATGGAATGGCCTGAAAAAGGTGTCAATATTTGAAATTATAAAATGTTACGAACCGAAAAAAATATTAATTATAGAAATTATTATTTTTCTATGTCCTGGAGGCACCAAGCTGCCGAAATTAAAAATTCCGTTTAATTTTATGGGATCGTGTATCCTTTTTTAGAAGAAAACTGCCAAGTTACGTTATTCGGAATTGAATTTAAGGGATAAGACACAATGAAACAATTAAGACCCTTTTATACATTTATTATAAAAAGAAATCTTTGATTTTAAAATGTTGAAATAATACAATAAGATAAGAAAATGGAACGATACATGTTAAAAAAAACTTACTACGCTGCTTATTCTACCGTCGCTAGCTAACGAGGGCGAGGCGTCGAGCTGCTATCCGACGGGCGAAAAAAAAATATACACACTTGTCAAGCGCGAAAATGTCTATTGGTAGCGCACGAAAATTGCACTCACGGGTCCACCGAATCTAAACAGCGCAGGCACCACACGTGCGGACTGGCCGGTCAAAAAGACAAAAATTCAATAATTTGATTTTATTCAAATTACTGGATTTTTATTAAAGACGACTTCCGTTGGACTTCGTCGGCGTGAAGTATTTATTTTAACTTTTCGTCCGTCCAATTTTAATCACTATCTATGTAGTGGATTGCAAAAATTGAAAAACCGACTCACGGACGGGCTTAGTCCCGGCGTCTCAAAATCGTTTTTATGCCTCTGAAAAATTTCAGAGCTGACTCGCGAATGAGAGTTGTACTGCAATTAATTGACTTCCGCGATGCACTTTTATATGAACGTTTAAAGACTTCAGGTGGGAAAATTTTGTGGACTAAGGGTTTTTAACACGTGAACAAGGCGTGAGCTCTGGGCCTGTTACTATGCCAATAATGCTGAGTTTTTATTTTCTTTTAATGGTATAGCCAAATATAATAATATGCACTTGATAAAATCAAGCATAATTATTATTGAAAAGACTTGTTGTCCTTTGGATTTATTTTATGAATTTTCCTTGTTGGAAAATGATTTGATTTTTGGTATTTTTACCCCCTTTTTTTTTTTTTATTTGCGACAATTACAACTTTGATGTTGTGTTGTCATGAGCATGTAAGTTTGTTAGGCCCAGAATACGTTATATATAAAAAATGGGGGGGGGGGGGTAGAGTAAGGAAGGATGGAAGCTGAAGAATTACGTTCAAGGAAAAGCTCATCGCGTAGATTTATTTGAACTATTATTATTATATCCTTTTTTTTCGCGAGAAGTCCAATTTCTAATGTAGCTCCTGTACTTATCCATACTCATTTTAGACCCGCAAGTGACAATATCGTGCCTCACAAAACAAGGTATCCATTATTATCACTTGCAATCAATAATTCTGTTAAATTTTAAATTATGAACATTGCCGCAGCGTCCAATGCATTCAGGGAGCTGCCGCAATGTTCGTTAACGCACTCGCAACATTCGCAACATTACCATTCGCTACTTCCTTCAATTTTAAGTGGGGAACATTGCCGCAACGTTTAATGCGCTTAGAACGCTGCCGCAATGTTCATTAACACATTCGCAACATTCCCATTTACTAACTTCTACAATTTTCGTTTGGGAACATTGCCGCAACGTCCAACGCACTCAGGGCGCTGCCGCAATGTTCGTTAACGCACTCGCAACATTCGCAATATTACCGTTCGCTACTTTCTTTAATTTTAAGTGGGGAACATTGCCGCAACGTTCAATGCGCTCAGAACACTGCCGCAATGTTCGTTAATACATTCGCAACATTCCCATTTGCTAACTTTTACAATTGTGGTTTGGGAACATTGCCGCAACGTCCAACGCATTCGGAGCGTTGCCGCAATGTTCGTTAACGCATTCGCAACATTTGCAACATTAAATTCAAAGATTGTCGATTATATTTCATATATATAATGATTTTCACCTTTTAAGGTTATATTTAATTATAAATGCTCGTAGAAATCTGAAATTATATTAGAGTACATGCACATATATCCATTAGTGATATTTGCGGTTTACATTTTAATTCTAAATAGTTATAATAATAATATGTGCACACATAACATTCCAAGAATAAGGCCCGAGTCCGTTCCCATCGCATTATGCTGACGATTGAATTTTTATTATCAAAGTATTGTGTTAAAATTTACGAAAAGTAAATTTCAGCACAATAAAAAAATTAAATTTTTAGGTACCACCGTGACAAACCACCGTGAATATTCCCGTTTTTGTCCCCAAAAACTAAAAGCGATGGAAACGAAATCGGGCTTAAAAAAAAATTAGTAAACAATTACATATAAAAAAAAAACGAGAGAATAGAATCATTAGGTTTTTCTTTATAAAGAATTTGTGCTGATTCTTTGTCTGGACGTTGGTGCCAGAGAATCGGATGTGGAGCATCAGGTTGCACTGATAAGGACCAAGGAGCTGCACGTGTAGCAGTCTCCGCGGTCCAGACACAGGTCCCCGCAGTCAGTTCGCTGGTAGCTCGTAATCGGTCAACACATTGTATTTATACCCCCTTTTTTTTTTAACTGTTCTCCCTTTTTTTTTATTTATAAAAAAAAAAATTTTTATTTCCTTTTTAACACGCGCGGAACGGGAGTGTAGTGCACCGTGAAAAAAAAAACTGTGTTTTTTTTTTTTCTTAAAAAGAAAAATAGTGTTAAGTGAAGGTGACATAATGGATCATCGCCAGAGCTTATTAGCCCTTCTAGAGAAGGTAAAAGGGATGCGACCTGCCCGCGATCAGGAAAAAAAAGAGCGTGACCCTGATGAGGAGACAAGCCGACACATTGAAAGGCTAGCTGGGTGCATCCGACTGCACAACACGATTGGCCAAATTGGGGGGGAGAGAGGGTAAGTCAAATTTTATACTATTAAGAAAATTTTTGAAAATATGTAAAAATTTTTTTTTTTTTTTTTTTTTTTTTTTTTTTTACACAAATCTAAAAGAAATAATATTTTAAGTAAATGTACATTTTTTTAATGGAATTCTTGGAAATAATTCCATTCAAGAAAATACACACCTTTCCAATAGAATTTCCGCAACAATCTTGTTAATAAAATTCTTTGGAAAATGTGAATTTCTGATAAAATTTCAAAAAAATAACATTTTAACGAAATGTACATTTTTAATGGAATTTTTGGAAATAATTCCATTTAAGAAAATACACACTTTTCCAATGGAATCTTCACAACAATCTTGTTAATAAAATTCTTTGGAAAATGTGAATTTTTGATAAAATTTCGAAAAATAATACTTTAAGTAAATGTACATTTTTTCAATGGAATTCTTGGAAATAATTCCATTCAAGAAAATACACACTTTTCCAATAGAATTTCCGCAACAATCTTGTTAACAAAATTCTTTGAAAAATGTGAATTTTTGATAAAATTTCAAAAAATAACATTTTAACGAAATGTACATTTTTAATGGAATTTTTGGAAATAATTCCATTCAAGAAAATACACACTTTTCCAATAGAATTTCCGCAACAATCTTGCTAATAAAATTCTTTGGAAAATGTGAATTTTTGATAAAATTTCAAAAAATAACATTTTAACGAAATGTACATTTTTAATGGAATTTTTGGAAATAATTCCATTTAAGAAAATACACACTTTTCCAATAGAATTTTCACAACAATCTTGTTAATAAAATTCTTTGGAAAATGTGAATTTTTTTGATAAAACTTCAAAAAAATAACATTTTAACGAAATGCACATTTTTAATGGAATTTTTGGAAATAATTCCATTTAAGAAAATACACACTTTTCCAATAGAATTTCCACAACAATCTTGTTAACAAAATTCTTTGGGGAATGTGAATTTTTAATGGAATTTCGAAAAATAATATTTTAAGTAAATGTACATTTTTTTTTTTTTTTTTTTAATGGAATTCTTGGAAATAATTCCATTCAAGAAAATACACACTTTTCCAATAGAATTTTCACAACAATCTTGTTAACAAAATTCTTTGGAAAATGTGAACCTTCCTGATAAAATTTCGAAAAAATTAACGTTTTATGGAAATGTACATTTTTAATGGAATTTTTGGAAATAATTCCATTTAAGAAAATACACACTTTTCCAATAGAATTTTCACAACAATCTTGTTAATAAAATTCTTTGGAAAATGTGAATTTTTGATAAAATTTCAAAAAAAATAACATTTTAAGGAAATGTACATTTTTAATGGAATTTTTGGAAATAATTCCATTTAAGAAAATACACACTTTTCCAATAGAACTTCCGCAACAATCTTGTTAACAAAATTCTTTGGAAAATGTGAATTTTTGATAAAATTTCGAAAAATAATATTTTAAGTAAATGTACATTTTTTTTTTTTTTTTTTAATGGAATTCTTGGAAATAATTCCATTCAAGAAAATACACACTTTTCCAATAGAATATCCGCAACAATCTTGTTAACAAAATTCTTTGGAAAATGTGAATTTTTGATAAAATTTCAAAAAATAACATTTTAACGAAATGTACATTTTTAATGGAATTTCTTTGGAAATAATTCCATTTAAGAAAATACACACTTTTCCAATAGAATTTTCACAACAATCTTGTTAATAAAATTCTTTGGAAAATGTGAATTTTTGATAAAATTTCAAAAAAATAACACTTTAACGAAATGTACATTTTTAATGGAATTTTTTGGAAATAATTCCATTTAAGAAAATACACACTTTTCCAATAGAATTTCCGCAACAATCTTGTTAACAAAATTCTTTGAAAAATGTGAATTTTTGATAAAATTTCAAAAAATAACATTTTAACGAAATGTACATTTTTAATGGAATTTTTGGAAATAATTCCATTTAAGAAAATACACACTTTTCCAATAGAATTTTCACAACAATCTTGTTAATAAAATTCTTTGGGAAATGTGAATTTTTGATAAAATTTCAAAAAAATAACATTTTAACGAAATGTACATTTTTAATGGAAATTTTGGAAATAATTCCATTTAAGAAAATACACACTTTTCCAATAGAATTTTCACAACAATCTTGTTAATAAAATTCTTTGGAAAATGTGAATTTTTGATAAAATTTCAAAAAAAATAACACTTTAACGAAATGTACATTTTTAATGGAATTTTTGGAAATAATTCCATTTAAGAAAATACACACTTTTCCAATATAATTTTCACAACAATCTTGTTAATAAAATTCTTTGGAAAATGTGAATTTTTGATAAAATTTCGAAAAATAATATTTTAAGTAAATGTACATTTTTTTTTTTTTTTTTAATGGAATTCTTGGAAATAATTCCATTCAAGAAAATACACACTTTTCCAATAGAATTTTCACAACAATCTTGTTAACAAAATTCTTTGGAAAATGTGAACCTTCTTGATAAAATTTCGAAAATATTAACGTTTTAAGGAAATGTACATTTTTAATGGAATTTTTGGAAATAATTCCATTTAAGAAAATACACACTTTTCCAATAGAATTTTCACAACAATCTTGTTAATAAAATTCTTTGGAAAATGTGAATTTTTGATAAAATTTCAAAAAAAATAACATTTTAAGGAAATGTACATTTTTAATGGAATTTTTGGAAATAATTCCATTTAAGAAAATACACACTTTTCCAATAGAACTTCCGCAACAATCTTGTTAACAAAATTCTTTGGAAAATGTGAATTTTTGATAAAATTTCGAAAAATAATATTTTAAGTAAATGTACATTTTTTTCAATGGAATTCTTGGAAATAATTCCATTTAAGAAAATACACACTTTTCCAATAGAATTTCCACAACAATCTTGTTAACAAAATTCTTTGGGGAATGTGAATTTTTTGATAAAATTTCGAAAAAATTAACGTTTTAAGGAAATGTACATTTTTAATGGAATTTTTGGAAATAATTCCATTTAAGAAAATACACACTTTTCCAATAGAACTTTCGCAACAATCTTGTTAACAAAATTCTTTGGAAAATGTGAATTTTTGATAAAATTTCGAAAAATAATATTTTAAGTAAATGCACATTTTTAATGGAATTTTTGGAAATAATTCCATTTAAGAAAATACACACTTTTCCAATAGAATTTTCACAACAATCTTGTTAATAAAATTCTTTGGAAAATGTGAATTTTTGATAAAATTTCAAAATAATATTTTAAGGAAATGTACATTTTCAATGGAATTTTGGAAATAATTCCATTACTAAAATCTGAGAAAATACACATTTTTCTTTTATTTGATTTTTTTTTTTTTTAAGGTTTTTGATGGAATTTGGAAGTTGGGGGCGAGCGCCTGTGCGAGGGGACGAAGAAGCACTATGGTGCTTGGACCCCGTGCTGCGGAACAGTAGCCCCAAAAAACGGTACTCTCGATGCCAATGGTACCAGGAGTACCGTTGGTGCGAGAGCACGCGTTCCTATATGTGCCGAGGCTTCTGGGCAGTTGTAAGTGATGTTTTTTTTTTTGTTTTTTTTTTTTTTTTTTTTTTTTTTTTTTTTTTTTTGTTTTTTTTTTTTTTTTTTTTTTTTTTTTTTTTTTTTTTTTTTTTAATGCAACTTTTGAGGAAATGAAAGAGAAAGGAAACTAATCCCTCCTCTTTTTTTTTTATATATAGCCCTTTTTTGCTGATCCGACCATCGTCAGGGAGGCGGTTGGGGACTTCCCTATTCTTCAGGGATGGTGGAGACCTGGCCGAGATAAGTCTATATGGTTAGTAGTAAGAATAAAGTATATTTTACCTATCTTTCTTTTTCAATTTATTTTTATAATTAATATTTTATATATATAAAAAAAATAAAAATATTTTTCTTCCTTTTTTTTTTTAGGAAACTTCGTTCGCTCCCACCAGTGCCGCCCCAGGTTGGGTTTCAGCCTTTAAGCAGTGCCTTCGCCCTCTCCTTCCTCCAGTGTTTCTACTGGACCAGGGAGGGCCAAGCCAGGACTCGTGCTAGATGGCAATTGGTAAGTGTCAGGAAATAAAGTTATAAAATAAATGAATAGTAAAAGAAAAGGAAAAAGGCAAAAAAAAAATTAAATGCATGAGGATTACAAGAGATAGATTTTATGTGAGGTGGCGAAAGTGCTGAAGGAACTCCACTCCATTATTTCTCTTTTCTTTTTTTTTTTTAAGAAAATCCGGGTTCCAGTAAGCAGGGTGTGGCAGGAAGTTGGTCAGGAGGGTTACCTGCTGGAGCCATTCATGTAGGCTGTCTCCCCCCAGGCCAGAAGACACGTCCTCCCTCCCTTTTCGCGCGTGGCATTTTTTTTTTTCTATTTAATTAAAATTTTCTTCTTCTTTTTTTTTTTTTGTATGATTATATAAAAAAATAAAATAAGACTTATAGGAATTGCTGTTTTTTTTTTTTTTCTTTTTTTTTTTTTTTTTTTTTTTTTTTTTTTAATTTTGGTTTTCTATACCCTCCCTCTTCCCACCCTTTTTTTTTCAATTTCAGAGCCACCAGCGACACTGGTTCCCTTTTGTAAAACAATTTAGTTGAAGATTAATTAAACTAATTTAACTTTTCTTATTACAACTTAAAATTATTATTATTATTTTTTTTTTTTTTTTTTTTTTTTTTTTTTTTTTTTTTTTTTTTTTTTTTTTTTTTTAAGCATAGCTTTTGTTAAGGATTTAGAGGGGAGGGGACCTTCAACGTTTCAGTGCTTCGATACAAGGTAAGTTACATTATTCTATTCTCTCTATTCTCCACAAATGAATGATGACGAAAATTAAAATAATATCGGGTAGAGTTTATCCGCTAACACTATCAATTATTCTTACGTGATCTTCCACGACCAATTTCTTCATCAACCAGGCACTGACCCAAAACTCCCACAAATCATTAGACAGGTGTTGATGTCTCGTTAGAGCACATTTGCACCCAGTCCTTTGACAACGTGGTAGGAAAGGATGTCTGGCAAAATATTGAGGGCGGCCCAAGTGGCAGTTCGGCGGTCAGACCACGTAAGCCTCCCTCTCAAGATTTCTCTGTTCTTTTACATGAGAATGTGCTAGGACCTGTCCCGACGGTGCTGAAATTGGTAAGAGAAATCGATCGTGGATCTTCACGTAAAAAAAAAGGCAAGATAAAACTCAACAACAGAAATCGAAACAGGAAAAATAAAAATTTGATTAGATATATATACACATACATATACATGCATACACATAGATATATATATATATAGGTAAAATTTGTGCATAGCATACTATATTACTCTTCAACTAAACTGGTTGAAGTTTTTGTATGGGCAATACAATTACCCTTTTTAAGCAGTTCTTCGTTGGTAAACTGACACTAGTTGATGATGTTGATTTCGTTGTCGAAATTCCGAAGCCTTCGGAATTTAGTTGTCAAGATTGGGTTGTAGGTACAAGATTCTTAGGTGCCTCAACGGTCGATGGTTGGAGTTCCACGCCTTGATCTAGATTCGTAGATGTTGAAGGGATTTTTCCAGATCTCTGCATATCTAGGTGCTCGTCTTGACTCCTTAACTTATACCCTGTCTCCGGAACGGGATCAGCCTTATTCCTTTTGAAATTACTTTTGCCAGTGATAGTCCTGATTTTTCTACTGATTGAGTGTCGACATAGAAGGAGGAGACTGATAATGCCAAAAATTATCAATCCACTATAGGACCCATAAATAAGGATAGAGTGATGGGTTCTCCATCTTCGCTGCATCGCAAAATTCTCCAATTCCTGTTCCAGTTGTTCCAGAGTTTTGGAGTTGGTATCGAAATTGGGGGTCTTCAATTTTGTTCGAACATTCTCTTGAATTCCCATCGTAGTTGTTAAATGGGAATAGGTAGAAAATACACTTGAAATCCGTTTTAAGTCCAGGTGTAACTCGGGTTCATATAAGATCTCCGTTTGGCCTACCTGAGTTGCTGTTGCTGGGATAGTTATATCTTTTGTCTTTGCCGAACATCCTGGGGCTAGCCTTATTATCCCAGTACCTGTGACATTTATTTTGATCGGATAAGCAGAGTGACAGATTATCAGTAACACTTCTGGCTTGGCCACTGAATAAAGCCAGGCTGCTAAGGTCCGCAGAGGTTTCCAAAAAGATTCTAGACTTGAAGTGATTCTGATATCACAGGTTCGTAGTACTTTGTCCGTGGGATTGGTCAGGAGTGATACCTCACAGATTGGTCTGTTCTGAAGGTCGTAAATGGGTGATCCTTTCAGACATGCATGGAACGATGTCGTTGTCCTACAATTTTCCCAATCTTTGTCTTTAAGCAAAAGATAGGTTCTTTGCTCTTTGTCGACGATTAAGTAGTTGTATGCAGGGTTCACGTATGCCCTAGTAGATGCGTTTCCAAGTTCACCTTGAAGAGTCGGCAGTGGATGTAGTTTGAAGGCTGCATATTTGTCTTGTTCCAGGAGAGGAATGTCCATCAAAATTTTGATTTTGTGGTCCTCGCATAGAATACTGGTCGTGGCTACTTGAATTAATTCGTCAACGCTGACCTTGGGTCCAGGTATAGGGAAAATAACATCAGTGGCGTTATTTCTAATGTCGTCGAGGATTGGTCCCAATTGTTCTGAAGATAAAATTCCAGGATGCAATTGTCCTCTTCTAGCATCGTGAACTGCGTCTAGCATTGTTGTCGTTGTTCGGATGTTGTGATCAAGTCCTAATTTTATGGCAGCCAGTGTTTTGTCCAGGAGTTTGGAGTATTCTTGGAATTCAGAATGTTTAAATTGTCCATTTAGTTCCTTATTCAGGGTGTCGAAAGATTGGTGTAGTTCCTGCAAGACTTCGTCGTGATGTTGCACCTGACTATGCAGACTTTCTAATTGAGACCTAACCACATGTGTCTGCTTTCCAACAAGGTGTGATAAGTTTGCTTGTGCTTCATTTAATTCTTGCATAACTGCTTCGTAATGTTCACCATCTTCGTAGTTTAGTACACCAGCGATGGGTCCTGCAATCTTTCCAAGGAATCCAAAAAGGGGAACACTGCGCCGAGCTCGAAATTGTGATGATACCAATATAGGAAGATTCTGGCGTGTTCTTTCTAGTTCTTCTATTTGCCGCTGAAGTTCTCGTTGTAGGTCTGCGGCTATTTCCCATCGGTCCTCCCAGGGAAATGATTCGATTCGGACTCCGCACCATTCTTCTTTTGGAAAGCATTGCTGCTTCACGTCGTTCAATTTGTAATTCAAATCCTCGAAATGCCTCACTTGTTTGCCGATGTCCAGGAAGATGCCGATCCTCCAATTACTAACTGACCTTCTTACTTCTCCCGAATATTCGTAATATATCCCACTACTTATGTCAAGTGGGGTAATCTGGTATCCGGGGCCGTCAATTGGTCCTATTGGAACTGGATTGATCTGCGCCTTCACGATAATCGAGTTAGAGAGGTGCAAAACGATTAAGTAATGTGCCAAGTACATCTTTGTTTTTCTACAAAAAAAATTGACTGTATGTTAATAACAAAATTTTTGTGAAGGTGACAGTTAAAGGTAGGTAACCATCACCTTGTCTTTGTGTTTGGCGAACCTTTCGCCATTGTCATCTTCTAAAATGACATTATTGTTTTGGGTTAACCCTACAACAGTGTACGGACCATTAGCGCGATTGTCGAACTTGTTTGTCCTAACCTCTTTGTAGGTATAGACTTGGTCGCCAACCTTGACCTTCGATGGTCTTGACTTTCGGTCATAAAATTCTTTGGAGCGTTGCTTTGCTCCTTTAAGCTTGTCGGCTGCCAGATTCTGAAGTTCGTGCAATCGGACCACGAGATCCTTTAGGTATGAACCATAAGTTTCTAGTTCTGGCCCAAGTGGCAGGGAGGAAGGGATCCGGGCTACTCGTCCAAAAACTAACTCGAATGGGGTTAGGTTTGTAGCTTCATGAACTGATGTGTTATAATTGAGCATTGCAAAAGGAAGTAGACGATCCCAATCGTCAAAATCTTGAGCGTAGTGCTTAATATAATCCGTCAATTCAATATGGCTTCTTTCCAACGCTCCGTTAGTTTGAGGGCGGTATCCGGAAGTCGTAAGTTGTTTTACCCCAAAGATGCTTTCAAGCTTCCGCATTAGGGAGCTTATAAAACTACCTCCTCTATCTGTGAGGACGCATCGAGGCGCTCCATATACAGAAAAGAGGTTTGCTGCTATGGCATGGGCGATGGTGGTTGTTTTTATATCTGGTATGGGGACCGCAATGCAATATTTACTGAAATTGTCCTGCATTGTTAGTATATGTCTATTGCCGTTGGGAGTGGTTCGAAGTTTCCCCACGGTATCTAGGGACACTTTGTCAAAGGGTTGCGCAGGGGTATCTGTTATTAGCATAGGTTCACGAGTTCGAGCCCTGGCGAGTTTATTCTCAAAGCAACTCTTGCATTTGCGAATATACTCTGTAACTTCGTCTCGCATTCTAGGCCAATAATACCTCTCACGTATTCTTCTATAGGTTTTAGTTATACCTTTATGTCCTCCAATCAGACTGCCATGAAATTCTGATATTATCTTAGGGCGTAGTTGTAAGGGTGGTACCTCGATTTTTCCGTGGCATAGTGTGATATTTATATCGCCACCGCGGAATATTCCTGCTAAAAGCTCCGTCATTTTATTTTGAGGGAGTGCTCCTAGAAGGTCGCCCGAATTGGCCATTCGGCAATGTTTCTGATTGTCTAAGGTCATAGCATGTCTCAAGTTTGTTAGTCCAATTATTATGTCATTCCAATTGATTTCATCAAAATGTCGCTTTTTTACAATAATTGAATATACCTTATAGCGTCCACAGATAGTGACGTATACCTGTCCTTTAGTTGGTTTACTGTCTCTGATGTCCTGTAAGTCGATCTTTTCGGTTGCCACTAAAAGTTTCGCAATGGGGTCAACGGGTTCACAGTCTTCGGAAATAAAGTGGGCGTAATTGTCTCGTTTGTAAGTCAAAGGTTCTGTCCATTGATGTAAAACGTTTGGGGGATTTAAATGAGCATAATTGTCGGGGTTATCTTCTTCATTTCCTGAGGAATCAGGGGAGGAGGAAGAATCACAATAGGGAAGGTTTAGATCCATTAATAGGTTCCTTTTTGTCTTACTTCCGAACTCACTTGTAGGGGTTAATCTACGGGGCGTGATTTGTGTTTTTCTTCGCACCTTTTCTTCCTGTTTTCCCTTGTTGTAATCCGAAAACCTTAAAAATGGGGTGGAATGTGCTTCGGGGATTGTTACCCGACCAGGAGTGAATGATGGCAAACTTGCAGCAAGGTTGCGATCGATGGTAGGGGTTTCAAAGACTTCGGGAATGTCTTTAAAGCGGACTATACTCCTTTTTCGCGTGGGGGAGGGATTACTTGTTAGTGGGGTAT